TTGTGAAATTTCAGTATTTTTTTATATAATAATTCCGTTTCTCGTATTTCGTAATTGATGAATAATAAAAAGATCACTGACTCTAACAAGATCAATTCCACCCCCAGATCGATCCACTCCTCCTCCCCCGGATGATAAAAAATTCATCTCGACAGCACTAACAACCCCGTGAACTATTATCGGAACTGGATGGATTAAAAAAATATATTATAAGTTTCGACGGAAAATTTCCATTTTTAGTCTCGTACTTCCCTGAAACCGGCGAAACTTCCTGAGCTTCCAGAGTAAGATGTCGGCATTCTCAACGGAAAAACCGCTCTCGGGCTTCCTGGTGGCACCGCGAGTTCCACAAGGTCTGGCTGCAGCAGTGGAGGGTCTGACCCGGGAGGTGATCCGAAACAAGCCCTCCGACATCTACGTCTTCGCAGCTCGTCACTTCGAGAATCTCCTGCAGCTTCGAGAGCAGTACGAGGCCTCGACCCCGCTCACCCGAGACCCCCAAATCCTCCAGGAGATGGGCCTAACACACCTGGTGTCCCCAGACCGTAGAAAAACCACGAGCAGATCTCGCTTGGACTCAGACCGCAGCGGTTGGTCCCTCAATCAAACCGCCAAAGTCCTCAAACGCCACAGGAGCATCACCACAGACACCAACACCTGCAGAAAACCCCTGGAGTCGTCTCCCTCGTCCTCCGGGGACTCTGAAACCCGCACCCCCAAAATCTTATCCAGGATATCCACGGGGATGACCTCCAGAGACATAAAAAACGAGCTGAGGAAGAACAGGATCAGCAGTACAGAGCGAAAATCGAAGCCGAGGAGAACGCAGACTGGAGAGTCCAGAGGGAAAAAGGAAAAGGAGAACTCCGGATCACGACCACCTGAAAATGGTTTCAACTCCTTCAAGGAAGGCCTCTCCAGGACCCCGAGCATGGACAAAATCAAGGACTACGTTGTCCGTAAATTGTCCTCGACGAAGAGCTTAGAAGAGCTCCAATCCCTGGATTATGTGTCAAAAGTTCAGAGCATCATCGACGAGAGAGAGCCCGTCATCAGGGAGAAGATGGAGGAGCTGAAGAACGGAATCATAAATTCGAGGAAGTCGAGTGAAATATCGAACGTCCTGGAGACTCGACTGAACGACACGGAGAAACTCCTGGAGAGTGTCTCCTCGTCCCTGTCGAAGCCCCCAGGTCGTTCCCGATCGGCTCGAGCCCTCAGGAGAATCAGAAGTGTTTCTATTATATCTACAGAGGATATCAACAACGGAATCCAGGAGAGGAACGAGGAGTTGATGATCTCGGAGTTGCTCATCTCCAACGGCCAACGGGACGGTCTCGACCTGAGAATGAAAAATCCCGAGAGCGTCCACCGCAGGAGGAGATCTCAATCAGCAAAGGGTAGCAGAATGACGAGAACGTTTGACCCTGAGAAATCAGCGCCAGATAATCCCCAGAATGAGGCGACTCCAGCTCTGGAGTCGATGCTCAATGAGACCAGGAACATCCTCGCAGGGATTTCCTCGTCGTTTTCACATCAGAATGGCAGGAGATCGAGGGGCAGCACCTCCTCGTCATCGAAATCCGATGACTGCGAGATTCAGGAGTCCATGGGGCTCTCCAGGGTATCTCTTCCAGAGGTTCGACCCAAGTCCTCGAAGAACAGGAGTCAAAATCCTCAGAAGAATAATCTGGGGGATATTGTACTACCGGCGATATCTCCAGAGG